TTAACGAGAAAGAGATCGATCAAGAGGGAAAATATTTTCTAAGTGTACTACGTACAATCGTTCCTTAGTTTTATATATTTTTATCTTTTTTCCGTGGCTTGTATTGCAAGCAAGTTGAAATAAACATCATCAATGTATTCTATTTCATTCTGAACTCCATTCTATTTCCCTCCGATTTTCGTTCTTGTGCCAGTTGAGAATTAATTTATCTAGATGAATTTATATCTACGAGATTAAGTAATTTAGTCTATTCTTTCAGCGATAAAATTAATGTTTATTTGGCTTTAACGTGGCACTTCTATGCAATGCATTAAACGCACTCTTCAAGTGCTAAATGCATTTCGCATATGAAATTATAAAACTGGGGCGGCTTAATATTGTTTACCATTCTTTTTTTAGTATATCTTAATCGGATTCACGATTATTGTCTCGTACTGTCCTTCTGATCCGACATGAACTTTGGGCGTATTTTATACGAGTATTGCGTAAGCCGAACTTCACGCAAAAATGCATTCATTAAAGTACTGATCGATTATCTTTGATGTTTGTGTCCGATCTTATACTTAAAGTAATTTTTAAGTCTGATCTCAGGTGGACTTAAAATTCCAATGAAATGATACATATAATATCAGCATCTCGAAATCGTTATTTAAGACGAAGAACTTAGCTAAGATTGAATAAGTATCGTATTTCTGTTAAAAAAAAAAAGAAAATCTGAAGGAGACAAGAGAAATTGAACAAATTTTGCGGCTTCAAAAATTCAAAATTACAATTTTTTGAATTTTGCAAAAGAAACTTTATATTTTTTAATGTAAATTCCTCGCGTCATTACAAAAAAAAATGGAAGTTAATCGGCCACGGTTCAAAGGGTTAAATATCTCGTTGGAAATAGAGCGAATTAAAGTATCGGCCGGACAAGTAGATACTGAAGGTGGTCAGCCGTTGCGTTTAAAATAATCGTCGAGCGGCGATAGTTGCAACGCGTGGCTGGCCGGCTTTCATTTTCAGATAAGCAATTTTACAAAAAACGTGATAGCATTTCTCAAAAATGTTTATTTTTACGCGTGAAGCTCGTTTTCTGGGACTTTTAATAGTGAAAAATTGTTATCTATTATAAATCACCGCTCAGTCGACTACATCGAGGCGCACAAACTTGCTACTTTGTTTCACTGTAGTCAAAATGATACTCGACAGGATGGAAAACTCACTAATGAAAATAAAAGAATAACAATCTTTCGTCCTTGACACTTCTGGTCAGTCCGAGAGGAATGAACAAAAAGGTCTAGGCGATGATTCTCGCTCCTTGCTTTCTAGCAATTATCGCGACCGACAAGTGGATTACGATGAGAAACCGCGTACCTCTAGATATCTTCGTATCTAATATATCTTTTCGACCTAAATTGCGAGATATCTATCCACGACAGGATATCCAGTAAAACGCTAAAATTTGGAATCTGTTGTAGGAATCAATCGATCGGTTAACTTGACAAAAGTAGGAAAGAAAGTGATATTAACGCGAAATAATAGTCTCGCATGTTCCTCTCAATCGCAATTATACTTCAAATACAACACGCTTATATATTATTTAACTTATTCTTTCAATTAACCGAATTACAGATCTACATTATACAGATGATTCCGTGTATAGTTGAGATTCCTATCATTGTTTATTTTATTCTTTTACTTTTTATGAAAAAATTCAAGGCTGCATTACACTTTTAGATCGATATACGAATATAATAAATAATTTCCCTTCTCAGAATTCAATGGCTGAAATTACACGCACGGTTGCGCAGAGAAGAGATTTTCTCTGTTAAAAATTCTATCGCGGGATCTCTCGCGGTAGAAGTAGAAATTGCAGATGTGGCGTGCGGAGCGTGTCTTCTGTAAGGCCGTAATGCGTAGCACGTGTGCGAATGAAAGCGAGAGAGTTTCCCGCGACGCCTCGGGAAACGCCGGATTCAATCAACGATTCGACAAACAAGGCTAAGTGAATCGAGCGCAGAACGAGGAAGTGATCTTTGTGATGTTCCTTACATTTTTTATAAGTATACACTGAGAGAAAGGTTTTTGACATTTGTGACTGTAGTTACATGTTACTATAATTATGATTATTACTGCTATAATAATAGTAATATTAACTATAGTTCTATCAGTACATATAACTGGCATTGACTATTATAGTTATTATTAAAACTGATCAAAATTACTATTTATATGGTAAGATATTTAACTATAATTTATAGTAATTGCAATTATTGTTTATAAAAATTATTATATTTATAATCATTATCCGTCGCTAACTATTATATATACATTTCTTTGCTAATAGAAGTGTACATATTATTATTACTAATATTATATTACAGCAGTAATAAGCACAATTATAATAACATTTAATTATAATAAATATCATATAATTATAAATAACACGCTATTATAAATATCGAAAATTTTTCTCTGTGTAGTCAGAATGAGTTCGCGTCTTTAACATAAATTCTTATCAACAATTTATCGATGCAATTGGTTGAAATTATTACAAAATGACGATTGGATAATTCTTTATACGGTTTTGACTCGCGCGCGCGCACACTTGACATTTCGTATTATCTAAAATCTGCAAAAATCGACTCTAAAACCGCAGATATTTTTATCGCACAACGAAAAGAAATTGCAGAAATCAAAGATTGAAAGTAAAAAATCGCACCGATCAGCCCACGATTATGTTAATTAAGACATGATAATTTAAGATATCCAGGTACTAAGTTATGTTAAAGTGAGAGCGATAACATTTAGAGAGAAAAACGATAATTAATTTGTAGAGATAATATCTTAGAAATATCTTGTAAGAAGGACATATTCTTAATATATGTATACGTATATCAAATCTAAATTTGCTTCATTTATAATCGTTATTAATTCCGGTTTGAAACGCAGTCGACTGCGGCCGTGCGTTTTCACCAAAGACAAGTGTTCACGATGTTGCAAACATAGACGGCATCGACGGCGATCATCGGTCCGTTTTTTAATCGGGCCGAGCGAAAACTCCGCGGAACGTGAGTTCGCAACGGATCGCTACGTGTTATCATCCACCTATTCCTACAGTAATTGCAGCAACAAATGACACGCCGCGGCGAGTTTCTCGCGGCAGTCGATTTCCTCGCTCTGCGCTGGAAAAAGACGGGCGTTTCTACTGCGGAAAATTGGCGCGCCGTGAGTACCGAGAACACGGCGCGCCATACAATGGCACGTTAATTTGCAACTTTCTTTAATCGTTCGGCCTTTTTTCAGAGGCGTCTTAGACCGACTCGACTCGTCGCTGCGCGGCAATTACGCAGCGATTATCGTTCGCGGAGTATACATTATTCTCGTTGCATTCTTGCTTGTCGAATATTGATTAAGGTTTAATTCTGCGCTGTTGACTTTCCACGAGAAAGTGTATTGAAATCAAGTGGTAATTAATTCTAATATCTGCTTCAAATGGTAGTTTTGACGTATAATGAAATAATAATTAAAATTGTTGCTATTGTGCTTTTGTTTCTGGAAAGATATCATTGTGTTACACAGGAATAAGAATCCTATCAGATTTATCGGTGGAATTTCTCTTCTAAGCAATTATATACTTCATATACACTGTAAAAAATAAAATGTTAATTTTAACATTTTTGCATGTCTCAAAAAGTCCACTAAACGTCTTTAAGTTAAAATTAACATTTTATTTTTTACAGCGTATATACATATATAATATATCTACATTACATATTACGGAAAGGATGGTTTTGTTCAAGTATCTAAAAATGGTTTCGCAAAATGGCTCCGGTTTTTTTTTTAATCTCTATATTCAATTTTTTTAAATAATTTCACTACGCTAATTGTTAATTTAATCGTTAAATCGTTTATTAAATAATAGGCGTAATACATTGACGCATTACATCAATTTTATACACGGAAAGAATAATTTTTTGCTCGAGTGTCCAAAAATTTAGCCAGACACAGATCTGAAAACAATTTTTTGTTGGACTATCATAATAATTATGTAAGACGCTCAAATTGATTGTCAAAATGTCAAAACTTTTTGCAGCATTGTTCATCATGCTTGAAATTGCTACGTAATTATTTTGATAGTCTAACAAAATTAGCTAAATTTTTAGACACTCAAGCAAAAATTCTTCCGTGTATAAGATTGATATAATGCATCAATGTATTACGCCTATTATTTAATAAAAGCATAAACGATTAAATTAATAATTAGCGTAGTGAAATTACTTTAAAAAATTGAGTATATAGAGAGTAACAAAAAACCGAAATTATTTTGCGTGTACGGAACAAATAGAGCAAACGAAGAGTGAATAAGCGGAAAGAAAATGGGATGTCAATTGAAGGTATACGACTAGGAGACCTTTATATGCAAGCATATATTTGTATAGTGAAAGCCAGTATCTTTCGAATCGGGCAAAAATATCGGAGAAACTGGTTGAAATGAGTTTACGCATATAGGCGGTGCACTGGTCGCGCATAATGTTGCATATGCAACCCGTTATTACGTAATATCGGCCCGCGACACTTAACTAAAAATATAAATCCCCAAGAAAGGTAAAAAAAAAAAAGAAGAAGAAAAAGTTAGTTGCCAGTTCCAGCTTGATTGACAAGCGATCGAACTCGTAGTCGCGAACAAAACGATTCGATTTTCTTACTTCCTCTTAATTCTCGCGGAACTTTCACTTCTTCTTCTTTTAATCCTTCCAAAATTAGACGTGCTATTTGTCTATCTAATTGCACCGAAAATAATTCGCGAAACACCTGCTGGTAAACGAAAACTTTCAGAAGGCGACCGGTCGAAAGATCCTATGATAATTTCGGAGTCTCGTAAATTATCGAGTCGAATAAGAGAACCGGTTGGACCGCATTTTGTTAAATCCACCGACTTTTCCCTCTCGATATATTTATAATTCATTATCTTGGAAGAGTGCCGTAGATAAGAAATGCGAGAGATGGCCAACCTGTAGCTCGCGTCTGCCGGCCAACGGTTATCCTCGCGATCAGGTCCTCGATCTCTCTCACTTTCGACGATCCTTGCCAGTGGGTCTCTCTTTTTCTCTAAGCCAGGCGTTAAATATCACTTCAGGAGGATCTAGCGGTACCCGCGGGCACGCGTGTCTTCGCGCATGTTAACGCACGCGGACGGTCGCACGCGCCGAGAGTCATGCTGTCCTGAGAAGACGCGAGTCTCTCATCGTCAGGCGGGACGCCGATGACGATCGATCATCGATTCCACCGCCGTCACCGTGGATAATATCCACCGAAAAATCGATGAACGACGCACAGCGAAACTGGCACTTTCTCCCGCCGGCTGCACACCACGCACTTCGCGCCGCAACGTTGGCGGCTTCCTCACGGCGAAGTCGCAAACAGTCGCGAATCGCTCGGTCGTCGTGAAAACGCACGTTTTTGCCGCGCGAAAAATTCTACGCGGAAAGTAAATTCTACTACGTAAATTCAGTTATTATGTAAATTATCGCGGCGATAAAATGCCGGAAGGATCAGCTCTCCGGCTTGCCTTCGCGTACAAATAGTTAACGATTTTGATAGTAAAGAGGAAAATTTATTTCCTCTTTGCTTTTTATTGTAGCAATTGTTTAACAATAGGATATCTTTATAAATTTTTTATACGTGATTCTTACATCGCCAAGCGGCCTGATCACTCGCGTCTTGATTTAATTTCTTCCGAATTTTATTATAAATTATTGTATGACCTAAAGGAACGTTTTTATCGCGCTAAAATTTCGGAGCACACAGTCGAATCTTTTTTCTTTTTTTTTTTTGCACCGATCACACGTCAGGATACTAGTCACTGTGTGCTCGAACCGATAGACGATCCCGGGTTATCGTCGGACTTGGTCAACTTCACTCCGTGGAAGTGATCGTCAGACTGAAGTCGTCGTACCGCTGGTAAGAGTACGTGCATGGGTTTCTTATCCCTTCTGTTAGCACGAGAAATCCCCTCTTTCTCTTTCTCTTTCGTTCATCCCAGCCTTCTGTCGTTCCGGTACCACTATCTTGCTTAAAGCCAAATCTATCGGATAAATTGGTAATTTTTGGGAATTGCGCGTGTACAATTCTCTATTTCTTAAAAGAAAAACTAAATTTCCCGATAAAAAAATCAGAAAAAAAATCATTTTTAGAAGATTTTTTTACTCGCAAAAGAGTGTTAATTTGCAATACATGAATTTTATATTTTCACTTTTGAACGTTTTATTTTACTTCATGTTTAGTTTGATTCACTTTGCTTTTATTCTACTTTCTTTTCAGCTTTGCTGGTGAATGTTATTCGAGATTAAGCAAATTTTATTTCACTCACCAGATCTTCCTCTCCTGTTGTTTTTATTTTTTCAATCCTTTTTTCTGAGAATAATTGTTTTATTAATTTTCTCTGCACGCTTACTGTTCATTTCATATCTTTAATTATTTTTTACCAGTGACGATATCCCGAACACCTGCTTTGCTTCCATCATTCCGACCGATTGAGAACGATTTTCCTGAAATATCTAAACATTTATCTAAATACAAATCTAGAAATACAGAAAATAATTTTATTAGACTATCAAAATAATTAGAACGTTTGAAAGTGGTTGTTAAAATGTTTTTTGAAGCATTGCTCATCATGTTTGAGTTCCTTCATACTCTCTCTTATTATAATAGTTCAATAAAATTATTTTCACACACATCTGTATTTAGTTTTTTCAGATACTTCAGCAAAATTATTCTTTCCGTGTAAATATTTTCAAACGCATAAAACTCGGACTATCATATAATCTTTCAGGACATATATGTGCTCCTACTTTGTCTCTTCCATAATACCTTTATTTGAACTTTATTCTCCTTTCCACGTTCTTACAATTATTCCTAATCCTTTAATATTTTCCTATTTCTTTCGAAAACAATTTGTGTCTTCAATTTTTAAAACTTGATCTTTTCAATTCCTAATCGCTTTTTGTTTTCTTCCTTTCGTCCTATTTCTTTCTAAGCTTTTTGAATGTATATTTCATACAATTGTATCTTCTTCAATAGCACAATTATCTCTAAATGTCAGTTTCGATTGCACAGTACGCATGGCACCACAAAGTTATTATATACATCAGACTCTGATTTGAATTCATCTGAAGGATTTAAAATTAGCTCCCTGATTGCGTTGATCGCAGACTTTACTTAACTGTAAAGCTAATAAATTATAATCTATAGTTAGTGACTGATCAGATCTCTTCTAACACACTGCGTCTAAATCCAACAAAATCCTTCTTATTTTTCATCTTCAATTCTTTGATGTTCTTTTCGACTCCATTTTAATCCCTCATTATTCATTTATTAAATCCACTAAAAATACAATAATCCATTAATAATTACATATATAGATAGGACGTGTGTTAATCAATTATTCAGCTGCAGCCTCATCTATTGCGTATTTTGATGCTCTATATTGATAGCATATAGTCACTATTTCTCTATATATGTTGATTTATTAATATCTAATGTTGTTATCTATTGCACTTAATATACAGTTATAATTATTATTACTATTATTATATATTTATATTCTTGCATCTGATTATATTTAAGTCTTCTTTTATTCTACATTATTATATATTCTTTCTTGCGTTCAAATGATCATCTTTTGTTACACGTAACAACAGCTTAGGCGTGTGCATTTTCTTCACTTTCTTTATGCCCCTTATAAATAATTACTATCAAAATCAAATCTTGCACATGAACAATAAAGTTATTATTATTATTATCTGCCCGTTACACAACAGTGATTCTCACGCTTTTTTCACGAACGTTTCGTGCGCGCGTAACACAAAACATAAATCATAAATCGTCGTTTACGAGCCGCCACAGCACGGTAATAATTACTCTAACGAAAAAAGACGAAGCCGCCGCGTTATATGTCAATCTCGAGGGCAAAGTTCAGTTCACGGGGTCGACAGCGGGATATTAAAGTCATTTTCGATTCAACGTTGCCGAAATTGCGCGCTCTCTGATGTCACTTTTGACGGTCTCAATCACCGCCCCGTCAACGTTGAAGGGAAACGCGCGACCGAGTTGCAATTCTCGTTGCTTTCATCCAATCGTTTTTTAATTTCGTGATGGCTAAATAACATGTCTGAAATAACTCGTTCTTCCTTAAAAGGATCTTCAGATAACTATATACCATGCGTCGTTACAGTAATGTCTGTATAACACTGGCTGAATTTTCAGTAATTTTACATTTCATGAGAAACATTCGGTTCACGAGAAGAAGATAGTTTTCGGGTACAACGAGTATAATAATGACTGTGTGTGCGAATGTTTTAATATAACATAAAAAAGTATAATGAGAAAATATGTGAACACATATTCGTTATGCTTTATTATATTATATGGGAACCGCGTTGAGCATTGAAATTAACTGTGCTGCTTATGGGAACGGCTTGTAGCTGTACAGTGAAATGGAAGTGTAACAGACAGACAGACAGGCAGACAGACGGGAGTAAGAGGCTGTAAGGAGTCGAGAATCAGTCGAGAAAAGTGCGAGGGAAAAGTGAGCTGGGCGACCTTCGCGACAATTCACTTACCTTCCGATCTCTTGAATCCAGCTTGTTCTTGCAGCTGTCCAATTTTTCGTGAATGCTCCTTTTATGTCTGGCTTGTGCGTGGGGAGTAACTTAAAAATAGCGTAGTCATGTCTTATAATTGCAGATGAAAAGTCTAATTTTAGACAATAATGTTTGCACATAGTATTTCTTATCTATCCAAAATTCATAAAATAAATCAGATAATGATTCTGTGTTTACTTCTAATAAAAAATAAAAGGATAAAAGTTATCGTTTGTAATGTAAAATATAGGATAGAGATTATCGTTTTGAATATAATGCATTATATTGTATTTGAAAGAGAGAAAAAAAAGAAAAATCTCGTGAAAATTAAAAAATTCTCTCTTTCTGTTTTCCTCCCAACTGAAGCTATTAAATGCGACTATTTCAAAACAGTGCAGTGTAGTAAGTGCATGTCATATGACAGAAAAATATTTTGTAAATTTCAGAAAACCTATTTAAACATACTGTATTTATTACTGTAAGAGATTAAAGAACGAAAAAAAGTAGACAAGAAAGAAGCAAAAATAATTACGTTTTAAAAATATATGAGAGAAAATTTTAAACACTTTGTCGAAATCGAGAGATTATAAGTCTGAAGTTCGCAAAACTGTTCATTTCGACAATTCACAACTCTTTCAGTTGTTAACGCGATATCCTTCCAGATGATTGTTACATACAAAAACAAACGTCTACTCGCATTTATTTTTTAGAAGCGATCTTAAACTACAATAATAAATAACACACACACAAAAAATAAATTTAATAATATTAACGATTTGCGTACCGTTTGCATGTCAGATTTGCTTGAACTTTTAGAATTTATCCATATGACTTTTACATAATTTAAAATCATAAAAATCACGCATCCATGTGTGATTATCTCTTCATAGGATATATCTTCTCGTGAGTTTTTCCCAAAAGAGAAAAATCGAGTCTTTTCATTTCCGCCTGCCAGGTACATATTTACCTGTTAGGTGGAGTGTTGGCTCAACGAGAGGAACATGCCTGCTCGAGTCTCGCGAGTCCAACGTCATCGCCGCGCCGTGATGGCGGGACATTTTTTCTCTATTTCTTTTTTTTTTCTCACTTCTCAAGACATACTTCTGAATAACACCGCGCGTGTCCGCCGATCTTTCTCCGTCGCTCTTGGCGAGCGCAGAAAATCGAGTGGTCGGTGTACGCGACAGCGTGCTCAGCGCTAAACCTGGCAGCCGTATAGCTCGCAGAGAAAGGCGGCCACCCACCGGCTTACACAACTCTTTGCTCCAGTTATTAGTATGTGACTCTTTTGCCGGTCGGGCGACCTGACGAACCGTGGCGTGCGACAGGATTGTCGGGTTCCCGTGTTTCTCTTTCTCTCTTTCTCAAAGACACGCGATGGCTAAATTACGGCACCCGCGCGGACAAAACCGCGCCGCGATCCTCGGCTCGGCTTTACGCGCTTTCGAAGCTCTTACGCTCCCAAGGCTGTTACGCTTACCAGTTGCAACCGTCGCGCGAGCGAGCGATCGAAAGCGAGGCATTTGCATGAAACGCCGCGTTTCGTTAATTCGCCGCGAAGACAAACGCGAGCGTTCGTTTTCTCAAAGTCCCATCGCGAGAAATCAATCGACAGAGCAATCTATGTATACAATAACGTTACGAATTCATTATCGTAAAATGCGTATTATATCGCGATTAAAAAGCGAGTTCTCGCCATCCTTGTTTGATCAGTTTGTAAAAATTATTTGTAAAAGAGTTTTGCGATGATGTTAAATATAATTTATAATGTTAGATTTTAGATAATGTTAGATTGGATTAGATTAGTGTCATAATTTTGCTCGTTAAACCGCGATTTATCAACGATAATGCCGTCTCAATAACGAGATTGTTACTCGTCGCAGAACCTGTTCTAGAAAATAATTTAAAGCAACGACGGATCCTTGAGCGACTTGCTCGATTGTGATCGGAATGATCTACAATGGTGGGTATTACGCCACTGCGTGCCTGCCTACCGCACGTTTTCCGGTTAGCATGAGATTGTCCGTTACGCATAACGTCCCTTTCGAAACAACTCAATTCTCCGTCTTTTTGTCGGCCCGTTAATTTAAACTTTTAATAATATAGGGAGAAACAAGGGCTAATGAGAGTACAACGCAGTTAACGGTACGCAAAAAACAATGTATAAAAACTTATACTTCTTTAATTCAAGAAGAAAATCACATCATACACTGGGAAAAGAGTCTAGTTGTGTTAATTGGAATTCTGATTGAAAATAGACAAATCGCAGAATTTTCTGAGTCAATTTATTATAATTCTAGTTTAGATAACCAGAATTTTGATTGATATGATTAGAACCTTTTGGTTCGTTCATTTTCAAGCGATCAGATAACGATTTTCACAACATTGTTAGCGATTGTATCACATTCCTCCTCAACCATGGTCACTACAGGTTGCTGAATCTGAAGTGGCAT